CCACCCGCGACCCATGCGCGACCCACCCGCGACCCACCCGCGACACGGCCCGCGACTCACCCGCGACCCACCCGCGACCTACCCCGCGATCCACCCACAATGCTTTAACGAAGAAATCAGTGCCTGCGGCGGGCTCAATCAAAATGTTTGTAAAAGTTAGGCACCTGCGGCGGGCTTCTCCAGAGCCTCGCAGACTGAGGACGTCCTCGCAGCCCCCTCACTCTTATCCGCAACTGCGGGGTGTTACGTTACGTTTACTCTTCGGGTTGTTTGCAATCCGTCTGTTTCCGGTGTTTCGAAACAGCGCTCCCGCTGCAGCGCGGTCCTCATGTTCGGATCGACCCAGTGCTCCCGTCGTTCAGAACGGCGCTTTCGCCAGAGCGCGGGCCACTTCTCTGGACCCCCCCTCATTCCCCGTCCTCCGCCTTCGCTCCAGTTCCTGCGGTTTCTGTCCGCCCCCTCTCTCCTCTTTCCTCCTCATTTTCGTCCTGCTCATCCTCCCGTTCACACGCCATCTCCTCCACCTCTCCCCCCCTTTGCGCGCAGCTCCCTCCCTCCGATTGCGCAGAACACGACGGGGTGCTTTTGGAAGTCCGGGGTCGGCCACGACACGCGTCCGCGGGCAGAGGATTCCCCCAACGAGGGACCCAACAGATGCAGTTGTGGGAACTGCGGCGCAAATAAAATGAAGGAAGGAGCGGGCTAAAGGCCTGCGGCGTGAACGGATGGAAGAGCGGAAGTGGGCAAGCGGGGAGTGTTTTCGGTGTCGCATGATCCCTCGGCGCCGCCGCTCCGTGCCCATCTCCTCGCCAGATCTATGTCGGGCCTGTCCCCCCACAGGGGGATTTTCGACGAAACATAAGAAATACCCCAAAAATAATCCAGGTTTATTCCAAAAATGGTCTGGGGACTATTTTTTGAGCATCGTTTGACCATTTGGGGGCATATTTAGGGTATTTTTTTTAATTTTTCGTCGAAAATCCCCCTGTAGGGAACAGGCCCCACCTAACGCCAGATCTTCCTTCCCGCTGGTTGCTTCCTCTGTGCGCTGCGCCCCCGCCCGGCCCGCGATGGCCCGAGCCCCAGGCGCTGCTGTTTTGAATCCACGTCCTTCGCTCTTCGTTCATGTCGGGCGTGTCCCCCCACAGGGGGATTTTCGACGAAAAATAATAAGAATTAAAAGTATTATTTATTTTTTTAATGGTCCCCCAAAAATGCTAAAAAAATAGTCCCCTGACTATTTTTGGACTATTTTTGGAATATTTCTGGGGTACCTCTTATTTTTCGTCGAAAATCACCCTGTAGGGGGACAGGCCCGACTGAATTCTTCGTTCATTTCGCTCCGCTCTGTGTCCATCCGCCCTGACGCGGCCCTGGGCAGAGCGCTGCGAGCGGAGTCTCCGCGACACGCGCCAGTCGCCTAGAAGGGAGTGCCGGCGACGCGGGCAGCCCGTCCGCGGCATGAAGAAAAACCAGCCTGGTGAGGGACCCAAACATATGCAGCTGCGAATACCACATCCATGAATATCGTGTTCGGTGGAGCTCTGGGGCCACGAAGCAGTGTACTGAGTGGGGGACACGCATGCGAACAATGCCACTGGGGCCTTCGGTGGAGCTCCCTATGAAGCCACGAAGC